TCCCAAGCCTGTAGCATCAGATGGTGGTGTTGTGACCCAAGTGCAGGAATTACTATCTCATCTCTGAATACTAATCTAGACAGACAATACCCAAGTGTATTTGATCTTGCTGCATTAATAAAAATTTATTAGCCATTTAGCAGCTCTTTGAAGATGTATGCTGAATGTAGCAGAGGGGAAAAAAAGAAAAAAGAAAAAAAAAAACCACGCAAAAACCCCAAAACAAACCTTCATGTTGCCCTGCAAACAATGTTCCAAATTCCTGCCAGAAGGATCATCTGTGAACAGAGAAAACCCCATGTGGGATGGCTTCCTCATTCCTGTCTCCTGGTTCAGTCGCTGCATGAATTCATCAACTGTTGAGGAACCATCAAAACCTACAACCTGCAATGAAGGAGGAGTTGATTGAGGATAACTTTCAAGAAACATGACACTGATGGGTATCACAACTAATGAAGCCTGATTTCCTACAGATTGGTGCCTCATTATTGACTGCCAGCTCCAGTGACAGCACTTGGATATTGTCTCCCTTCACATTGCATTCCTTCTCATACTGAGACACTTACAACACCTCTCCCTTTTCCCCAGCTACCCTTTCTTCCTAAGGCCTGTAGAGCTGTAGCTGGGTTCCTTTCATTTTCTCAGGAAAAAAGGCTAAAATGGCAAGGAGGGGAAATAGTGTCTATCTCCTGTTATCTGATAAATATAAACACCACGGTGCCACCCACGCATATGAAGGAGGAAGGTTATGGTGCGGTCCTGTAGTGCCCAGAAGAAAGGCAGTTGTGGTGGCTCACCTGATAGGTTCCGTTCATGAAGTGCACTGGGATGCTGAAGGGGAGTGAGTGGTGGTAGGGATTTCTCAGCAGGATTGACACAATCTCCATCCGGGAGGGCTTGGCTTCCCGCTCGCCAGTCTGCACGGTGCGGTCTACTGATCTCTGGCAGTAGATGGCATACTTGCCTATTTCACTCCTAGGCAAAGAGATGGAGATAAGCCAAAATCATGCTTTAAATGCCATGTCCTCTTCCATTTCCCATGCCATAACAAAGCATTCCTCCCTCAGGCTTTTGCTCAAGCAAAGACACATCTCTGTGCAAGCACCCCAGTTCATCTCAACAGCTTTTCACTTGACCTGTTAGTCTACAACACAAACCTGAGCTCCAAGGATCCATAAGATAAAAGTAGACAATGGACTCTTTAGGAAGCACAAGAGCATTCCCTGCTCCTAGATGGACTGGACATAGTATAGGAATATCCTGTTCTGTACCCTGTTGCCATCATAGTATCCATTCAACCAAGACCAGTTCACCCTCAAACTCGCTGTCATGCAGCAGAATTTAGTTACTAACATGTCAAGTCCTGCTAAGTATTATTAATAAGTTGTAAGGCATTAGTCTCACTTACAGGATTACAGAAATTGTGTTTATCAATTTACATGGTTATACAGATTACAAGTTTCCATGTATTAACCCTATCTGCCAATCAAGAGATGACTTGACAGAGATTCAAAGCAGGCTCAGATTTGTTGACAGTTCAATACAGTAAAGGGATAGCTACTAACATGATCAGTTTACTGTCTACTGAGTAGAGTGCTCCAGTGAACAGCACCAAAAGGATCTAACTGTCTCTTGACACCAGGCAGGAACAGTCAATTACATCTTTTGCAAAAATGTTAAGAATGTATATACTGAATAAGTTCTGAAATTGAAGGATTGATATAGATTTATAACCGTACTATCACTTTGCAGGGGAAACTAATTCCATTCAAGATGCCTTCAGGAGTTCAGTACATGATGTAATCTCCAGTTAAATCCCTGCAAGCAACATGGAAGTCAGGAGCTCTGGCTTTTCACTGTAACAATATATTGCTCACCTCCCCAGTAATGCGTTTGAATGATTTTCAAATAGAGAATCTTGCTTCAACAAGAAGCTGTTGTGTCTGGCTTCCAAATGCTCCTGAGCCCTGTGTCTTCTCACCTAGAAAACTGCGCCTCACTTTTCTTCCTCCCTTAGAGATTGGATATATACTTTAAGGTCACCTTTCATGAAAAACAATACTTAGAATGAAGATCTAGTGTAAATTTAGACCATAGACATTATGCAGTGTAAACATTCTAGTGTCTTGTTTGCTGTAGGAAACAGGGAAAGCATATCTATTTAACTGGTCAAGAAACAGTCGTACCTGCTCCGTCTAAAGAGAGAAAAGTATTCCTAAAGCTAGGCAGAAGAAGCTAAAATAAGTCCCTTTAGCAACTGCTCTAAATCTAATCTAAACTACAGATGAATATAAGCACAGTTTGCTGTAATTTCTGTATGTTTTTTTTCTAGCCCTAATATTTGTTTCATAGCTGGATTGTATAAATACATTTCCTCTTTGTTTCTGCTTAAAGTTTATTTGTTGATAAAGGTACTTTTGAGCTAAGAACCTGGCAGACCATCAGAATGCTAATGCTTGAAACTGATGCATTAAATCAGTTTCACAGAACCCAGCACATCCTTATGAAATTCAACAGTTCCTAACAGTAGAGCAGCTCCACTACTGAGTTGAATGGGCCAGTTTGGGGACTGGTAATGAACAAGTTTGAAAAGATGGTTTCTAGTACAAGCCAGAAGATCCCTAAACATGTTACCTTAGCCAATGGAAAGAAAGCCTGAACATCGAGGAGTGCCTGGTATCTGCATTTTTGCTTCTGAGAAGAAATAGCAAATGTAAGGCAGCATATAAGAAAATAGTAATAATAAAAAAAACTTCATAGGAGGAGCAAGCAGATTTCCTTTGCAATACCAGGAGACTTTTAGCTTGAGTTCCAAGGCAGACTTAGGCTGAGTATTTGAATGTGAATATTTGTTTGAAATGAAACCACTCTTTTACCTATGTCTTAGCAACAGTACATTGTTGCAACAGACAACTAGACATCTCTAGCTAGGACCTCCCTCCCAAGGACACAGTGAGATTATGCTGAAGACCAGATCACCATGGAAAGAAACAAAGAGCACAGCATGAACACTGGAGAACAACTTATTGCTGTTACAGTAGATTTTGCACCGCTTTCTTACAGGGGAAAGTGTAACACACCAAAGAGGTAACAGAAAACAGTACTAGCCTGTATTTCAGGTTTTTTAGTTTTTCCCAACTTTTTAGGGTTCCCTGAGATATTCTCTGCCTCACTTTTGTTCTGTCAGTATGCCTGCTAACCTGACAGCAGGATGTAATCACCTAAAATTTTAATAATTCATTCTAAATAATTACTTTGGTCTGTCTATGAAGAAAAGAAAGTAACTGCATCAGCAAAAAACTCCCTATGTAGCCCCAGTTATATCTGCAAAAAGTTCTTTTGCTAGAGTAGGTTACTCAGTTTTGTGAACTAGCTTAATATAAGTGACAAATTAATGTGAATGACTGAAGGGGAACAGCTTGATACCATTGGGAATCTTCTGTCCCTCCCCTAACTTATTTTTGCAGGTGCAAGTTACAAAATTGCTTCCATCTTTATCTGTAGTGGATGCAAAAGGCAATCAGCTTAGCAGAAGAAAACGCTGTTGCAGTCTTTACCTGGGGTCTGCATGTCGCTGCAAGTGCTGTTTGATGTACCAGAGGAAGTGATGTTGAGGCAGGAATAGAGGAGCACACAAAGCCAGGAGTTGCCAGCACTGTGAACATAAAACTGGACATCATTCCTGTTCTGTTGTTCTTGCCGGTTGTCCTTCATAGAATATTGCAACCAAAATGTTGGAGGATGACTAGTGCTTTTGGGAGTGACCATTTTTAGACATGTAGTTCAAGATGCTTCAATGGGAAGCGATGGTCAGAGGACAGACTGCTCTTCAGTATCTCAACGTGGACTCTAAGAAGAGGTGTTCTAAATGATTGGCTACTTTTCAAAATTTTGTCTAGCGTAACCAGAGCCAAATGAACAATTAGGACTTAAATTAGTACTTATTTTCTACTTGTAACTGCAAATCATAACAAAGAATATACTGGGGAATTTTGTTTCAAATTAGACCCATTATTCTTCAACTAGATTTTATTTTCTCATTTGAGCTGGGAATATTACAATCAAGTATGTACATTCATGCTGTAACTTATTAATTTGATTTACCCAGTAATTATAGTGCAAAAATCAGATTTCATGCTTAACAGTAATATTCATGATTTGCATGCTGTTGATTAACTAAAATGGAAAACAAAATTAATACCGTGTGACAACTATAGCTAGCCAACACAAGCTATGAATTTTGATTCTGAATGTGGTCCGAATAGACCACTTGCAACTGGTAAATGGTTAAATTCAAACTAAAATCTATTTTTCAAGTAGTTACATTCTCAATGTTTTTATTTGCACATCAATGCCAAGATTGCAACTTGCTGTAGGTGAACCTGCTTTGGCAGGGAGGTTGGACTAGATGATCTCCACAGGTCCCTTCCAACCCTGACAATCCTGTGATTCTGATTCTATGAGATTCTCCTTCCTCCAGCACACCTTTAGCATTTACACAATTTTATGAGAACCAATCCAATTGCTAATTATTAAAAACATAGAATTAAATAGAAACTATTTGCAGAGTGGAAGTCATAAGAGGAACTGACCTGAATGACTGAGTGGTTCTGGGGTTGTCGGCAGCTGGTCTGTTTAACAAGCTGACAGTAAATTTCATTCTGCAGCTCAGTATGTGTCAAGCAGACCTGCAGCGCTGTCTGGGCAAGTGACACGTGGTAATCAATAGAGGGTGCCTCCACAGGGACATTGATGAACAGCTGACAGGACTGTAAAAGGGTGGAAGTTAGTCAATGCCATGAATACAGCAACTCTTCTCTGGTACTTTCCAGACCAGGTTCCCCAGATGTGTTACAGACAATTAATGAATTCTTCTAAATAACCTTGAGAGGAGGGAGGAGGGTAAATACTTAATTCCTATCCCTCCCTCTTTAGTTGTGGCAACTAGAAAATTCACTCAGTCTCCCCCTACCTGAGGAGCTCAGAAGCCAGTAAGAGAATTGAGAGGAAAATGTGCTTCGTGCCTTCCATGCCTGTGCTTTACCTTGCTAAGACTGTCCATCCTTACTGCTGATCTTATACTTGTAGAGTGCAAGAATCAAATCTCCAATGGCTTCACCACTGGTTTTACTAACACAACTGTTTGCCAGTAATTTGTTTCTGTTTCCTTCAATCCAACTATTGGAGAGGAAAGAGGAAGATAAGGCTAACTTTGAAGCATAAAGCCTGTGGGGGACATTGCTCCTAAACCCAGATTCCCTACAAGGAAACTTCCAGAGAATGAATGACACCTAATATCTGACCGTCCTATTGTAATTAAATGACCCAGCATGCCTGTCTAAAGCAACCAATGGTGACAGTAAATATTGTGACAAACAACATGACCAAACAATGTCGTTGCCCCAACAACAGAGCAAAAGAATTCAAAACCATGCAATGTCCCTTTAAATACCTTAAAAAGTTTCAGAGCTTCAGTCTGTAGAGCCTCTGATGGCAGAGTGGTCAGGGATGTGTGCAACCCATCTTTACTGTAACACAACATCGGATGTTTCCACAGAGGAGAATCTGAGGTGCAGATGGGCAAAAACATGCAGTGTCAGAAACAGAAGAAAGATAACAGTGTCCACGTTCAAAAGGAGCCTTACCAAAATGGCAAAGTACCCAGGGAAGCAGCACTGCACTAGGCCACATTTGTCTTCGGTGCCACTTCATTGATTTCAGCAAAGCCTGCCATGAACAAGGAGTCACCAGCAGCATTAGCCATCAGCAGAAAGAAGTACTGCCATCCTGAATCCTGCTATGTCAGAGCTTATCAGCTGGATTTTGGTGAGAAACTGCTCAGCTGCATTTTCAAACAAGAGACACAAACTCTGCCAAGGCACCCACCTGCAGTGGGGGTCTTTGTTGGTGCAAGTCACCATTCAACAGTAAGCAAGGTTCACATATAGGTCTAGGAATATGTGAGCGTGCAGGAAGAGTATTAAGTACAAACGCATGTGTTCATACACATTTGAGAACATGGTACATAAACACACATGAATGAGCAAGTACCAAAGATGAGGAGGAACAGATGAGCATGGATGTATGTGTGAGGATTTATATGTGCAGACAGAGGAACAGATGTGAAGGCAAGTGTGTGTGAGCATATTTAGAGGAGACGGCATGTGTTTGTATGGTCAAGATTCCCAGGAAAGGAAAATCAGGACCAACCATAACAGGCAAAATTAAAGCTCAAGTTCTTTATTTTAATTTGAATTAATGTTACAGATGTTTCAGATGCTTTGATAAATGATGTGACAATGTGATGGACTTGCCTAGTTTTACTACAATGCCTGTATCCTCTCTGGAGATGTTACTGTGGAACTAGGTAAGGGAGAAGGATGCTGTATCATATCCTATTCTACTGAGAATCTCCTTCGCTCACCTTTGGTTGGATTAAAACTGGGAATTGAAATTACCCTTCCTTATGCTTTGCTACCATGGAAGAGTTTGTGGTTTCTACTTACCAGGGTCTCCTTCTGCATCCAACAGTTTTCCAATGAGTTGTTCATATGATGTGCCCACAGTGGCATTACTGCTACCAGCTGCTACGGTCAGATGGTACAGCCAGGTATTCTAGGCATAAGGATGAGAACAGTATGGGTCAATTCAGACCCTTGTTTTCTGCAAACAGGTTCGCTCTGTATGCCCCATCTGTTTGCTGATACCAAAAAGACTCTTGCTCTCCAGAAAGAGAGCAAGCCTTTTATACCTTCTCTTGTTTGGTGCGAATGAGTAAGTATGTGGGACTCTGGTCCTGTGGGTGAATCACCAACGTACAGTGGGATGACAGAAGTCCTCCACCAGCAGCTTCATAATCTTCATCAGAGTCACAGGAACGGTCTACTTCTTTCACTTTGGACTCGCGCATAGGCAGATGCCCTAGGGGACACTACAAGGAGAGCAAACAAGTTAGGTAAGCATAGCTAATCTCCCACTATGGACAGGGAACACTGGGAAAGAAAACCCAGGTCAAAATGTTAGCAGTTCTGTAAAATGTAAGGAATAAACTATAATTCAGTGTTTAATTATTATAATTCTACAATTATGCATTTCTATAGAATCTCTTCTCTTTTATCATTTCAACCAGCATGGGTTCATGAAAGGCAAGTCCTGCTTGACCAACCTGATCGCCTTCTATGACCAGGTCACCCACCTGGTGGATGAGGGAAAGGCTGTGGATGTTGTCTACCTGGACTTCAGCAAGGCCTTTGACACTGTCTCCCATGGCATTCTCCTGGAGAAGCTGGCAGCTCATGGCTTGGACAGGCACATCCTTCGCTGGGTGAAAAACTGGCTGGCTGGCCAAGCCCAGAGAGTGGTGGTGAATGGAGTTAAATCCAGTTGGCAGCCGGTCACCAGTGGTGCTCCCCAGGGCTTGGTATTGGGGCCGGTTCTAACATCTTTATTGATGATTTGGAAGAGGCAATTGAGTGCACCCTCAGTAAGTTGGCAG